ATACCAATCAGACCATTAGTAAGTAAATACAAGAGAATCATATTATCTAATGTCTCCCCAAGCATCCCAAATCATGTCATCGAAAATATTCTTGATAAATTAAAAGTTACCAGGGGCTCCCCGGTAATACCACTGAAAGCTACAATTGTTAAAACCGGATATGAATACGTGGGTAGTTGGCGTAAACAAGCTTACATTAAACCCGAAGACATTAAAAAAATACCCGAGCTCTTTAAAATTTATTATGAAGGAGTCAACTACTTCATATACGCCAGCACAGACTCAATCAAATGCTTTTCATGCAATCAAGAAGGCCACCTCGCAAATAACTGTACAGCTCACTCAGCTGACTCAAATGTAAATATTGATGATGCTGAAACTATTATCGATAATAGTCCAACTACCAACGAATCCACTGCTACTAATGCGTCAATTAACTTCACACCAGCAATAAAAAGACAACGCTCTGAAACTAGCTCCAACGAATCTCCAAAAGCAACCATCCAAAACCCATCCGAGCAATATATAAAAGAAACACACAAACATAAACGGAAACCCAGCAACCCAAACTTATCTAAATAAGATACCACTACTGCAACAAAATCTTCCTCCAAAAAAGAAAAAAATATCTACCAAGACTATGACTCACAAGAAAACATTAACGACGAGCTTGATATTAAACTATACAGCATCAAAGACTATCTCAACACTGCTGAAGTTCTTCTCAACTACGACGAATTCAAAAGTCTTCTCGAAAAAACACATAATGTCAAAAAACCCATAGAAATAATAAAACAATACACGGACGACTTAGAAAAATTTTTTAAATTTATTCGAGAGGATGTATAACAACATAGACTTTCTCAACGATGGCACACCAACATACTGCAACGCTTCCTCCGGAAACCCCAGTTCAATCGACCTAACTCTCTGCAGCAGCAACATAACGCTATATCTAAACTGGGAAGTACTAGACTACTTATACGGAAGTGACCATTTCCCCATAATTACAACACTTTTTCCTACCAATAACACAGAGCTAGAAATCAATCATCACAGGTGAAAATTCTATAAAGCCGACTGGGGAAAATATAAAGAAATTACCAATTCCAAAATCAACGAACTTGAATCACTACTCAATGACAACTCTCGAAAGATCAACTCCAATATCAACCAAATAATAGATAAATTTAAAGAAATCATCCTACAAGCAGCAAACGAAAGCATTCCCACTAGCAAAAAAAAAACTCCAAAATACAACACAACGTTGTAGAATAAAGAGTGCGAAACCGCTGTCAAAAACGCAAAACGAGCTTTCAACATTTGGAAAAGGAAAACACTCTAAGCAATCAAATAGAACACAAACGCCTAAAAGCCATAGCCAAAAGAACAATTAAACAAAACAAAACAAAGTCATGGTTAGAATATCTGAAATCGATGAACTATCAACTACCCCTGAACGAATTATGGAAAAAAATCAAATCAATAGAAGGCAAAAGCACACAACAATCTATAATAATTAAAGAAAACAACACAATAATAAATAACTCATACGAAGTGTCAAACATACTAGCCGAACAATTCGCTGACGCAGCAAGCGACTCCAACCTCACACATGAATTTTTACTATATAAAAACGCACAAAATCCCCTAGTAACTCCACAAGAAACCACAAACAACAACACTATCAACAATAAAATCACATATCGAGAACTAAAGTCGATACTAGAACTCAGCAAAAACACAAGTCCGGGGCCTGACTCTATTCCGAACATATTTCTTAAACAACTTCCATACAGACCTCGCAAATGCCTACTACGAATTTACAACTTAATTTGGACAGAAAAACAATTTCCCGACGAATGGAAACGAGCTATCGTTATTCCTGTATTGAAACCTAACAAAAACAAATATGAAAAAAACAGCTACAGACTTATTGCTCTAACATGCTGCATGTGCAAGATTCTAGAGAAAATAGTGAACAAGAGACTAAAATGGTATTTAGAAACGAATAACCTCCTAAACAAAGCCCAAAGTGGATTCAGAGAGAATTGCAGCACATCAGACTGCCTCGTCACACTGGAATCCAAAATTTACGAATCTTTCGCACTAAAACACCACCTATTAACAATTTGCCTCGATATGAATAAAGCTTACGATCTACTATGGCGCCGCAAAATTCTCCAAACCTTAATTGACTTCAAAATTACAGGCCCTATATTTTACTTTATACAAAACTTTCTCACCAACAGAAGCATTCAAGTCCGAATCACACTATCGGAAGCAGTCCCAATAGAGAACGGAATACCGCAAGGCTCAGTTATTAGCGTAACTCTATTTTTCATCACTCTAAACGACATATTCCAACACATAAATGCTCCAATTCAGTGCACTACATTTGCAGACGACATTACCCTATTTTTAGAAGGAAAAAACATTAATACCAGCGTTAAAATCATGCAAAGTGGACTTAACAAGCTAAACGAATTCGCAAACACGTCCGGATTCCAATTCTCACCTACAAAATGCCAAGCAATTTTATTTCAGAAACACGGAAACAACAACCAAGACATTAAATTACATATCGGAAAGGAACTCATACAAGTAGTCAACGAAGTAAAGATATTAGGCCTTATTTTCGATAAAAAGCTATCATGGAATTCTCATTTATCTTATCTAAAAAACCAATGCATCCGGAGAATAAACTTATTGAAAACACTATCAGCAAGAAACTGGGGAGCAAACCAACAAATAATCAAGAACACATATAAAGCTATAATCCAATCTAAACTAGATTACGGCTGCGTTGCTTACGAATCTGCAAATAAAAACTTACTAAATAGACTAAATGTATTACTACATGAAAGTATGAGATTAGCAACAGGAGCCTACAGGACTAGCCCTGTAATCAGCATTCTCAGCGAAAGTAATATTCTCCCATTACACCTCAGACGTAAAAAAACAATCATGAATTATGCAATAAAAATTCTACACTCACCAAAAAACCAAGCATACCCTCTCCTCTTCAAAAAACGTAGTATTTACGACGATAACAAACCCAATCAAAAAAAACCGTTCTATTACCGAGCTTACAAACATCTCGCAAGTTATGGAATATTCTACGATCAATTCCTTCCATATATAATCTCACATTCAAACCAAACTCCTATGTTATGGGAAGATGAACTAACAACAGATCTATCTAATCACACAAGACTAGAACACTGCAACCACTCACAACCCACCTCAACCACATATATACCGAGATCATTCCCTCAAACAACACTATTAGCGCAGCCGCCATTTTACCTAGCCAAGAAAAATTAATAATTAAACTCCCAAAATACTATGGACTTCAAGCAGCTCACGAAACCTTGATCCTGCACACACTAAATAATATCAACCTCACCATAAGGTCAGTAATACATACAACAGCTGCAAAACTTATCAAACAACTCCAAAGCACTCATTCACAAAATACAATCATACAACATATAAATAAGATATTGAAAAACACAAAGAATAAAATAGGAATACATCTAATAAAAGTTAATGAAAACACACATACACAAAAAGCAGAATCCCTGACCAGCCAAGTAACACGCGCCAATGAGGTAAAAATAAACAAAATAAAACAACGCCAACTGGACAAATAGCACCAACAACAGTTCACTAAAAAAATAAAAAAAGACGTTTTTCAAACAAATCCTGCTAACAATTTCAACAGAAGAGAACAAATTATAATAACCAGGCTCCGAATCGGACACACATCAATGACTCACCAACACATACTAAACAAATTGGAACCCCCGATATGTGAAAAATGTTCAACAAGAATTAACACTGAGCACATACTAATACAATGCTCAAAATACAAAAACGAACGCAAAAAGCACAAATTATTGAATGATATAACAAGCCTACTCAACAACCCAGATCAATGCAAAAAAGCTATAAAATATCTACAAGAAACCCAACTAATAAGCAAACTATAATAAAAAAAAAAAAAAAAAAAAAAAATTTTCAATACACCACCGTAAACACCAGTTTGTATCCATCATATCAACAAAAATATCTTACAATATAGATTCAAACAAACACACATGTACCACAATCTTGTACTTAATTAATGTCAACTCTACTGAACAAACTAATTTATGTAACTCTATAACAGAGTATCAATGTACCAATGTCGCTAATACCGATTAAGGGGGATGCGTCTGTAAATAAATAAATAAATAAAAAAAAAAAAAATTTTTTTCAAGAAAATTAACATTATTCAAAGACGTGCTCTTAGGTTTACGTTAGGTATGGGGAATTCAACCCCCAATAGGATTGTTTATGCTGAATCTCGAACTCATCCCGTACATCTGAGACAAAATAAACTTTCCTTCAACTATATTTTCCGCTCGCTATCAATTACCAGCCATCTTTTTATTTCTGCTATATGTCAGTTAGCTGATTGTTTAAACAATAGCCGTTCTAAATATCTACGCATTCTGTCTCTTCTTATTGCATACTTAGAGCTAAAACCATTCCGAAATAAGTTATATTCAAGCCCCATTCCTTCATGTTATGTTTTCTCTCTTGAAGATCAACAAGTCCATGCATCCATTATTTTTGATAAAGGTTCTGTTATTGCTAAGGCTGACAATCTCGACAATGAATTTAATATACAGTTTCATGACCTTCTAAACTCTCACACACCCTTCTACACTGATGGATCGAAAAAAAGTCCTGGGCTTTATGTCGGATTAGCAATCTATAGTCCTGAACCTCTTAATGTTAATTTACAATTTAGAATAGACCCTCATGCTTCTATATTCTCCGCCGAAGCTTTTGGAATCTAGCTGACACTGGAATTCATCATTTTACAAAAAAAAAGCAAAGCCATAATTTTTACTAACTCTCTAAGCTGTCTCATGTCCATCTCGCAAAATGGATGCACGATTGAGTCTTCTCACATCACAGTTTTTAGAATAAAACTTCGACTTTTAGAATTATTTCATTTTGTTTGTAAGTACGTATAAAAACCCGCAGCTTTTCAATAAGTAATTAGTCAAATGAATTGTTGAATACAGAGTTACTCTCAATGCTTCAGCAGTCGATTTAGTTAAAAAAAGGTCTTTAATTTTTTGTTGTTTTTCCCATGCATCTAGCCATTCAATAGATTCTTGAAGAATCTATAGAAAATTAATAATAAATTTTAAAATAGATTGATTATATGTTAAGTGAATAGAATAATATGATTTTTCTAGCCATTACTTGAAAGTCTTTGCTGCCTTCTCTTATGCCTTCATGAGGGTAAGATCTATTCAAAGTATCAAACATGTCGTTTATACGCAGAGAAAAGTTGATAGTTGCTTCGCAGCCTTCAAATTCATTTATATTTGAATTATTTTTTTCCTCTGCTTTTAAATAATACTGTAGTCCATGTGCAACGCTTTTACTAAATATCTGAAAATTTATTTTAAACGATAACCCGTAAATTATACGCAATAGACATACAGTTCTTATTAATAAAAAACAACAAAGCATAATCATAAATAAATGTGCTTACTTGTGTAGCAAGAGAAACGCGCATTTTCATGGATTGAATCGGTATGACGTGCCGTTCTGTTAACTTAGGGCACACTCTTAAATCACTACGAGAGTCATGATAATATAAACATTTGTAGTAATTCCATTTAATTTGACTACCATCAACCTATTAAAAATATAGTTTTTTCATAACGTTCATCAGTAAATATTATTTTAGATGCTGTTTTGATAGATATTATACCTCAAGTATTTTTTTCTCTTCTAATCTATTTCGAATACATTTGATCAAATGTGGAGCATCTGAAAATGCATAAACAAAGCGAGTCTCGTTATAAGGATTTTAAAAACGGAACCGACAGTCATTAAGTTTGCCGGAAATTCCAAGATCTTTCCACATACTTCGATTGGTGCTTGCTCCATCACATACTATTCCATGAACTTTACCTCCAGCTTTTTCTATATTAATAATAGCTAATAATACGAGAGCAGATAAAACGTTGGATTTCGTTGAACCTTTTGAGGCAAACGTAGCTATAGATTGATAAAAGTTGGCACCCAGTGAAGAAAACATAAATACTAAAGCATGGTCAGCTTTTCGATCTAAAGTAGCATTATTATCTATTTCTTTTCCATGATCTTGCATTCCTTCAAACGTCATAGTCTTTGTGTTAACTTCCACACTCGTTCTCACAGATGTTTCATGGAAAGACAATATGCCGTTTTTTGCATGATCTGACAAACCTTCCAATCTCTCCGCGAAAAGCTTAAAAAAATTGTCATCGAAACCACAATTGACATTTGATGCTCGTAAGTAATTTGTTATAGTGGTTTTACAAGGTAATGGCAGAATATTATTATTTCTAAGCATATTATAAGCTGCAGAGCTGCGAATATAAAGCAATAAACACAAAAGAAGCCACTCATCCGAGTACCGTCGTCCTGTAGATTTACTTTTCTTACCAGCAGCAAAACACTCTTGGATTAATAAAATCTAAATTAAATGCAAATGAAGCTTATTAAAATTAAAATAATACAAGCAACTTATTTGAAGGTTTAGTTGATACTATCTATTTAAAATTCATTAATGCAAAAAAAAAATTACTTATATTTACTTAGCACATTTGTTTAACATGATTAAAAATTATAAAAATAATTGTATATAATATAAAAATTTTTTTTTGTCACACGAGGGCCAATACTTCATAGAATTAGAGTATATTTAGTTAATTATTTAATCAACGGATATTTTTTTTCAATTTCAATTCAATCCTGTTCAGAATAATTTTCTTAACTCGCGAACTTCCGATGAACTTCATATGGTTACTTATTAAATTAAAGTCAATTTGTTTACCTGTTTGTCAGAAATATTTTTTGAATGTTGTTTCAGCTGTGCTTCAAAAGTAGTTTCTTTTAAATCTAGCAAACTTTGGTGAACATCATGTAGATCTTTCATTATTTTTTCTAATTTTTTTTTTTTACGAGTTAACCTTTGAGCTATCACTTTTCTTCTTTTCCTGATATTATCAATTTTTAATCGTTTGGAAGGAGATACAGGTAATCGAATTTTAATCTTTCTTTCTTGTTTTCTAGACAAATTCTTAGGCAACGTTTTATATAGTCCAAAGCACAATTTACATATTGTTCCTGTTTGTAAAATTACGGAACATTTATTATGCCTCCAAACAGTACGATCTCGATAAGCACTTTCAGGGTGTACATTTTTATACATTGATAATAAAGGTCCTCCTATGCAGGTAGGACTGGCATCAAGATTTTGGAGAAAAGTTTCAAATTCTTCAACGGTCTTTGGTTGTGTTTTGAATATCTCTGCTGCCGTAATGTCTTGACTATTTAAATCGATATTTTTATCATAAAGTCTAATTTGAATCCTAGAATCTTCATGAACAAATATCTGTTAAGGGTAAAAAAAAGTTAATATAAATGACAATTTATATCATAGCATGAATAAATAAACCTGTAAAATTACCTGTTTTTTGAAAATTGGTACGACATTTTTGGATCGGGATGGACTAAGCATTGCATCTAAAACTGAGAACATCAAAACATTCGATTGCAAAGGAATGTTTAAAACCCAATTCGCATTCGGGAAGTGCAAGTTACCAATCGCACCACATAGCTTTTTATATAAATTTTCTTCATTATTTTGATCTGTACCAGTGTTTTCCACAGAGTTTGACACTTTTTCTTGAAAATCGAGCATTTCTTGAACTGTAATAACCGAAGTAATTTTAACAACATTTGCAGCTGTGCATGTACTTTGAACACTGCTCTTTTCCACACCGTTTTGTGAATAAAGTATGGATTCATTCTGATTAATAACTGAGCTATTTTTACAGGCAGACTCTTTGATATTGGGTGTAGTGTTTTCTTTTGAAGCTGAAGCTTGGTCGTTACTGCTTGCAATTGCTTGTATGATTTTAATAATTTTTGTAGGTGGTTCACTGTTGCTAACATGTTGAAAAGGACATGCATCTGGTTTTAACCTTTTCTTTGACAATGGTACCTACAATTTAAGATGATGATTATATGAGGTGATTTCTAATAGCACCTGCAAAATGAATCTCGCATTAGATATACATTTTTTTTCAGTGTTACAATGTTGAAACTAAATTTGGTTACCGCGAACATTTCTGACTAATTATTACAAGCATAGCAAGACATAAATGATGATACGAGTATACAAAGTGCATTTGCCATGTATCTACCGCGCTAGATGCGTACAGATTTGCGTAGATTCGTAAAAAGGAGCAAAAGGTACATACGTTGTTTCTCTATCTCTGTCTGTCGATCTCGGTCAGATAAAGTATCACGTAAATACAAACCGAGAAGCTCATTTCGCAATATTACCGTAAGCGATAGAAATTGTCACATTAACGTTAATTAAAATAGATCACCATTGTTACACGGCTATAAAGTACCATCTCTTTTTATATCTATTCAACTAATATATATGCGTGTATACACGGACATCGTGTAAGCTGCAGTATTTAACAAAGATGAATGCGAATGCATAATTTATAAAATTATTGTACGTATTTATAAAACTTCTGGAAATAAAAGAAACTTTTTTTTCAGTTCGTATCACGCGATTCCAACATAAAAAATGCATTTTCCTCGCACTGCGTAAATGCATACAATATATAAGAGGTACTTACTATGTGTACATTACCAACACTATCAATAACACGGTTTTCACTCACTATATCGTCTGAATCAAAGTGTAATTCACAAATATTCCAACATTCATTGACTCGAACACCCAATGCATCGGACCATTTTTTCTATTCTTTGATAATACCAGGAACGCTGAAATATGACACTTTGATACTTTCTCTTCTGCTTCTACAATTTTTTATGCTACACTTTTTACCCATTTTCCACTATTCATTTATTTTCACGACTTGAGCTATGAAATATGAAGAAATAGTTACTAATAAGTACTTATAGCCAAGCGTAATATGTTAACGTGCCGCATTCACGGCAACAGTCGATGCACATTTGACCGTGCGCTTTCGACACTCAATTGTCGCGATGCTCAACTCGAAGCAGACCACACACGCGTCGTTAAAGAAAATCTCGTGTATCAAAATTCAGCGAATTTTAGAAAAACGATTATGAATAGTCGATATTCAGCAGCGAATTCATAAGCGGTTAATTTCTAAAAGATCAGTAAACGAATTGTATGTTTTTATGGGTCTATTGAATAATACAAATACTTATATGCACATTACAATAATCAGTTCAATAATAAGTGTCGTAGTTTTTACAAGAAAAAAAGAAATTTTCCTACTATCGTGCGCAAAGTTCGATTTTGCGCACGCTGGCCGAGCGTGCGGGAATGACAGCCGCGCATGCGCGGCGCACGGTCGACGCAAACACGCCGCTCTCATCTGTCACAACACCGTGTTGTTTACGTTGCGTTGCAGGAATAGACTTGTCAAAACTTGCGCGTTCAATTGTGTAAAATCGTGTTTTACATACAGTCGCTTAGCATTTATTTTGTGAAATAGTACATTACGATACAAGTGCGGGAAAGTAGATTCTCGCCTCGCTCGGGTGTAAACGCCACACGAGACGAGAAACTCTTTCCCGAACATGTGCCGTACCGTATTTTTTGATTCGTGTGGAAAGTGTGATTTTCAACGCACGTTTTCTATCGAGTGTGCGGGAAAGACGCACTTTGCGCACAGAGTATCGAAATAGCTATTTTGTGAGTGAAAAGGGACTAAAATTGATTCCGGACACAGTGATTCAGACTATGACAGTGATTTTGTGCCGCCTGAATTGATTGCAGCAGCCAAAGAAAATAATATGGTATCATCAAAAATTTTTTTTTCTGTTGATTTTTCTTTTAATATTTTTCGGATCGGGGGGGCTTTGCCCCCTCGAACCCCCCCTTTCCTCCCTCCCAAACCTTTACTTTTAATTGACGTTGTCGAACTTTGCACAGCTTAGTAGGAAAAATAGTAATATATAATAATATATAAATAATAATATATATAATAATATATAATAATATATAAAAATAATAATAAATACATAATGTACTAATACTCGTATGTATGCTATCAGAAAATGAAACATAACATCTTAATACAAAATAATGATTTTATCAAATAACAATATTTTTTTATAAACATAAAATAGATGAATTTTCTGTGGAAATAACAAAAAAGATAGGCAACGGAATTTGAACTCGCGATGCAAAATCCGTAGGCCGAGAGGCTGTTGCCTTAACCACCGTGCTTATACGATAGGCAGTGGTTAAAAGTATGTGATAAAGTCGTATGCTTAGGAGCTTAGGATACAAACTTGTGGATGAGCTTGCGTTATAATGTTTAAATAAATAGAACTATTAACGGATAGTATTACATAAAAGTAACATCGTTATTACAATTACGATATGAAAATTTAAATTGAAGATTGTGAAGTTATGATCAAATAGTATCAATCTTTCATACATTGTTGTTTATAAATAAGTTATCAATAATTTATTCAGAAAAATATGAAAATAAAGGAATTATAAATCATGTAATTACAATCAATTACTGAAAAAAAAAACATAGCGATGGGATTTGAACCCACGATGCAAAATCTGTAAGCCGAAAAGCTACCGCCTCGGCTACCGTGCTTGTACGTTAGAATATGATTAGAAGTATCTGATAAACTTGTGAGCTTGGGGGCTTGAGTTTAAGTAATTAGATTTTCTTGTCCTGCTTAAGTTATTCGGTGCTTAGGTTTAACAAATTGGTGTAACAATTTGTACTAATGCACACAATATAATAACAGAATAAACAAAAACAACTTTTTATCCACGCAAAATCCAATAAATATTTCTATTTAATATAGCAGGTACATTAATGGATTCGATATAATACTGAATCATCATCGAATTTGAATAATAGAATCAATAAACATGAAAAACCTGTAAAAAATTCTCGAAATTTGCAAAGAGAAACAAGCGTGAGGAGCAATGCGCATGCTCACTCACACACATGCACGAGTCTGAGAGTTGTTATAGGTGTGGGCCAGGAGCATGGAGACTGTATACAGGAGGCGAGGCAGAGCTGATTTATCTAGGCAACTTTCTCTTTTTCTCGGAGGGAATTAGCCGATTTTAGCGCTGCGCTCGGTAGTTAGTGCACCACTAGAAGACTTATAATGAGCGCAGCTTATCGACCATGGAGATATGTATACAGTCTCCATGTTATCGACCATGGTACTGTAGGTGACGAAGATAACCCGCCCTTGCATATTTTTTTGTAAAAAGGAATCCATTAATTTTATAGAAAATTAATACTATTTTACGATGAAAAAGTCTTGCAATATATCGTTTTTGTTATTTTTTTGAAAGGGTAGAATACGCTTTTCGATCATTCGATTTTAATAATTTTATAGTTTTTTTTGTTTTTATATTTCCTTATTAAACAATATGATGTCTAATAATAAATAACATTCGATATACTTAACTTTAATGATAGTTACGATGATTAATGTGGTCATTGTCAACTATCCACGAAATTTTTACCGTGTAAAATAATTATCTTTTTAATAGAAAAATATTGTTACGAAAGCCATAATTCAATTGTATAAAAAGCATAGATTTTTAACATAAAAATTTACAATAATTATAATTATTTTTTAATTTGTTAGTAATTGTCACCTGTTTTGAATTTAGTAAAAACTAAATATTGGCAATTACTTTGATTTTGAATGACAAAAAAAAATGAATTAATTATCTTCTTTAGATTGGGAGACGCGACATTTGGACTATTGCCTAGACTAAATGTTACGAAGGCACCCTCCAAAAAATAAAAATTAGATATATTTCAAACTGTCTAATGTTTACACGTTACCAATAGTCAAAGATTTTTTCTGTAGTCGATATTTTGATCCCATCGTGTGTGTGTGTGTGTGCGTGTGTATTGAAAGCTTATAATAACAGCTTCGAAATGTTGTCACGCGATTAATCTTATAATACTTACACTAAGTTATTGCATTTTGAATAACATCTTCGAAATATAATAACAGCTTAATAACAAGCTAATAACAACATAATAACAGCTTCGAAATGTTGTCACACGATTAATCTTATAATACTTACACTACTGCATTTTAAATAACACAACTATATAGTAGTAGAAAATCGGAACGTTAGTAGTCAAAGTGTTTCATCTTCATCAATCAAACCTCACACATAATACCTCATCTAAACGTAGAATTTCTCGTTATTTCCAAATCCGGAATCAAAAATAGGGGTTCCTATGCAAAAAATCACTGTGACCTTCAAATGACCTTGAAAATCATTCTAAGTGTGTGTGCGTGTGTGTAACAATCTCACTTAAACAAACTTCTAAAATTTTTTCGAAAAATTTAGTTATTATATATATATATTTTTTTTTCAAGATAGGAAATTCAACGTTATTCACTCAACTTTGAAAATGTACATTTACGAACAAAAAAGCAAGACTTTTTTATCGTAAAACAGTATTCATTTTTTATAAAATTAATTTATCCCTTTTTATAAAAAAAGATATTCGCGTGCGGGTTATCTTCGTCACCTACAGTACCATGGTCGATAACATGGAAACTGTATGCGTCTCCATGGTCGATAAGCTGCGCTCATATTGTAAGTCTTCTAGTAGTTCACTAGCTACCGCACGCAGCGCTAAAATCGGCTAATTACTTTGGGACTGTGACTTGGGTTAGCCGAACGCTTTAACACGGGCGGTATAGGCCAGGTCTAAAAAGTTAGCACCCAGAATCCTTTTTTTTAAGCTAATCGATAAACTAATTATACCGTTAGATATTTCGTCAGGATAGCAACAACTTTTCTCTTTGTCGTTTGTTGGTTCGTCCACTGGAAATCCTTAAAATTAATAAAATATGTCTTAGGTGCTGGCCTTAGCACCCAAACCAAAGTTGCGGTCAAACTTAGAAAATATTAAGTAAAAAAAATTCGTAAGTAAACCGATCGTTAGTTCGTCTTACGAACTAACAGCACCCATAATAAAATCATGACTAATTTGATTATTTAAGCAACTAAAAATAAAAAACTGTTTCGAATATTGGCTCACGTTCAAACGCCAAAACGCGGTACGCATGCTTCCTGAATTATCCCCGCCGGTACGCGAACCCCCGCTCTTATTTTTTACTACACCTGTTTGATTTTAATATATTAAAATAAATAATTATAATTTATAATAAATAATTATAATTTAATAATAAATAATATTTAATAAATAATTATAATTTATAATAAATAATTATAATTTAATAATAAATAATATTTAATATATTAAAATCAAACAGGTGTAGTAAAAAATAAGAGCGGGGGTTCGCGTACCGGCGGGGATAATTCAGGAAGCATGCGTACCGCGTTTTGGCGTTTGAACGTGAGCCAATATTCGAAACAGTTTTTTATTTTTAGTTGCTTAAATAATCAAATTAGTCATGATTTTATTATGGGTGCTGTTAGTTCGTAAGACGAACTAACGATCGGTTTACTTACGAATTTTTTTTACTTAATATTTTCTAAGTTTGACCGCAACTTTGGTTTGGGTGCTAAGGCCAGCACCTAAGACTTATTTTATTAATTTTAAGGATTTCCAGTGGACGAACCAACAAACGACAAAGAGAAAAGTTGTTGCTATTCTGACGAAATATCTAACGGTATAATTAGTTTATCGATTAGCTTAAAAAAAAGGATTCTGGGTGCTAACTTTTTAGACCTGTATAGGCCGGCCTCGCCTCCTGTATACAGTCTCCATGGCCGGGAGTAATATTTTCCTGTGGCGCCGCTCTCGTGGCCGTGACTGGCGGCTCCTCAAAATCGGCACACGAAATCCGTGGTGGGGGTAGGGAGATAACCCACCTTTCTATCTTACACCGTGATATAGACTCGCTGCTGTCGCTGTGAGTCGACGCCAAAGCCATCGAATACCAATACAGTCGAACCTGACGCACTACCTCCTACCGCACTGCCTTTTCCCGTGCACTGCGCGCTCTCTCTCCCTAAGCACTGCGCGGCAAACACTGCCGTATACTGCTAATCCGCGAACCAGGTATCATCCCGTATACTCTAAGACGGCAGAAAGTAAAAACCATGTAATCTTATGTATTTTTACCTGCTGAATCCAATGGTACTAATAATTTTTACGACAAACCCCTAGGCTTTGTTTAAAACTCAGTTGTTTAAATAATCGTGTACAAATAATTCTTTTTCAATAAAATAATTTTTTATAGATAATTTGGGTCATTTTAAGATGAAAACGTCTCTTGTAGTTTTTTCTTTAAATACATTTTTAAAAAGTTAATAATTGAAAAATTAACTTTTTTTGCAAGTTTAACTGTTAATAATTTTTGATCTATTAAATATTTTTTAGAAATTGAAAACTCAATTTTTTCAAAATTGTGCACTGTAAATATGTAATATTTATAAACAACTTTTAGAATTTAGGTTTGGAAAAATACAAGTTTCCTATTTTTCTCTATATGTAATTTCATTGAAAAATAAGCATTTCCGGGATTGAATAATAAGCATTATTGAAATATTTATTTGTCAATGAGAAACATTTTTAACCTTAATATTTCATTAAAATTTAAATACCACGATAAAGCAATACTCAAAAAACATTATTTATTTTCATCAATGAAGCATTTTTTTAATTACCCAAGCCACGTGGAAAATATGCATTAATATTTACTTTTATTTAGTAAGGAATACATTTTTAACCATCAAATTTACTGTTTTTCTCTAGAAAGTATAGCGCGTATAATATTTTCCGGTGTCAAATTTATTCGGGCCCCTCAGATCTCCGCTCACCAGCGGGAGTATACGCACACCTGGTCCAACGCTCTGATTGGCTAACGCGCGGCGTGCAGTGCACGGGTCGGCTACTCCCGAGAGCAGGCAGTGCGTTAGGTTCGACTGTAGAATAGAATAACTAGGAGAATATACAGGATGGTGGGATAATGTATGGAGACCGCACGTGAATGTGATGTCAATACGTAAACATTACGCTACGATATTTTTAAACTTGATTCGACATTCGTTATTAATATAATTTAGAAATCGTAACCAAGCAAGTCTGCAAATATGATTGTACGGAGGAAAATCCTACCAAAAGCTATTGGTGATTTCGTTTCAGTGTCATTTTTACTGATAATAGTGCCATTGATCTATTGGTTTGAATTGTGGGTTGTTTTACCTCAATTATATCAAACAGGATCAGTACCATACACCCTTCATTTTTGCTTAGGAACATTCATTATGGTTAATATAGTTGGTAATTTTACGTACACAGTATTATGTGATACTAGTATCAATCAAGTCATGATATCAACAAATGAAGCGAGTATTAAAGAAGGCTGGAGATTTTGTACAGTGTGTGAAACTATAGGTCCTCCTCGGTCTTGGCATTGTAACACTTGCAATACTTGCATATTGAAGAGAGATCATCACTGTCTTTTTACAGCATGCTGTGTTGGATATCAAAATCATCGATACTTCTTAATGTTTATTTTTTATCTGTTTGTCTCAACTGTATATTCAGTTGTTTATAATAATTATTTTATATGGAGCCAAATAGAGTTTGAATTCCCAATGACAATTATTAAACTAGTTTTTCCAGTAGCTATATTTATTTTTGGATTTGATGGTTCGATAAATCAATTCTACTTGATGTTATATATTGTTACTGTGATAGGAATGTTATTTACAGGTGCTCTTTTCTTTTATCATTTCAATCTTGTCTTTACAGGATGTACTCCAAATGAAAGGAATAAAAATAATTATATTTATAATTTGGGTTGGAAGCATAATATTATTGATGTGTTTGGGGACAAATGGTATTGGACATGGGTTCTTCCTTATGTTCCATCTAAATTACCACAAGATGGAATAATTTGGAAAAGAAATAGTGAATGGAGTATGAACTGTAGTAAATCAAAGTAAAATTTAACTAACAACTTTGTTATTGTTAAGTGTCTATAAGTATTGTATAGATGACTGAAATAGTTATTTTAAAAATAGGACCAATTAAAAGTCTAGAATTGAAATAAAACAGAATAATGTAAACTTTATTAAATTTATAGACAAACTATTCAAAATAAATTAATTATACAATACATATATTGTAATAGCAACAGTTTGTATCTGTTGACACACACACACACACATATATTTATATATAACGAAATTGTGGAAAATGAAAATTAAATGCATACAGTGTGCTTATGCTTTATGTAAAAAATATTTTAATAACTATTATTGAGATTTTTGTTATGAATGAAGAATGTTTATAAATGTACTTTTCTATTAATATGTAAATTTCTATACTACATGAAAAAATTATAACATCGAATTAGTCAATTATTGTAATAAATTTGATATACAAATATGTATAACTATGACAGCACATTTTTGCATTGCTGAAGCAATGTTTTTTATTACTGAAATTATGTATATCAAACCGAATAAATAAAAGAATTTATAAATCTGTTTCTAAATTTGGCATTACATTTTTATTGCAAATGTTTCGTTATTATGTAAATTTATTGCTTTATCAAAATGTATTTGAAATCTCAACTTGGAGAAAAATGTTTTAATTCTAAATTTTGATTGGCTAACGTGAAACTCAATTTAGGTTAGTATGCACTGTTTGAATTGTCGATGAAAAATCTTTATGGGTGATGTTTGCAATTAAGTGTTACAACTTACAACATATTCAAGGAATATGATTTAAAATCATCAGTCGTTAATATTTATATTTTACTTAAGTAAGTTCCATTAGTATTTAAAATGGCTTCGCCAGCTCCGAAATCACCTGAACAATCGGAGAAAAGTAAAAAATATGATAGGCAATTGAGGTAACATATTTAAAAATTAGGTTATTACTATTGTTTTTGTAGTTAAAGCTATTGAATATTTAATTTATAACATTTCCCTTCTACAACTTGAACTTTCTGAGTTTTCTAATATGACATACAATTTTTAATCTTTATTAAATTTATTAAAATATAAAGGTTATGGAATGACCATGGTCAGAAACTGCTTGGAGATGCTCATATTTGCCTTATAAATGCAAATGCTCTCGGGACTGAGATTTTAAAATCACTAGTACTGCCAGGAATTGGTTCCTTCACCATTATTGATGGGAAAAAAGTGTCAGATGAAGATATAGGGTCAAAGTAAGTTATCTATAGATTTCATTTATTAATGTTTTTAATTATAGTTGATGGTTAAAACTGTTACATTACATTAGTTATAATAATATTTATTAATTAAAACATATAATTAAAGTTTTTGTTCTGACTTCTGGTCTGTTTTGACAATATAATGTGAAGCAAAAGTACAAAGCATATCAAAATTAATTACCACTTGTTTAAGTTTTTTCCTAGATGCTGATAGCGCAGGAAAGTCCAGAGCACAAGTTGCACGTGATCAACTTGCTGAGCTCAATCCAGATGTACGAGGAGAACACATTGATGAAGGAATTGAACAAATTTTGAATAATGACCCTGACTTCTTGAATAAATTCACCATAGTGATTGGATGTGCAATGACAGAAAAGTAATTATCATAGTTAATAGAAATATTGTGCATGAACACTTATTGATTTAAAATGATTATTACATTTTCATTTTCAATAGATCACTGATCTTATTGTCTAAAAAATTATGGGATCTTGATATTCCTTTAATAGTATGTAGAACAATAGGATTTGTAGGATATATTAGAGTACAAGTAAAAGAACATACTATTGTAGAAAGACATCCAGATAATGAAATTCCCGACTTAAGACTTGATAAACCATTTGAAGGATTGAAAAATCATTGTGATTCTATAAACTTGGATTCTCTTGATTTGAAAGATCATTCCCACACACCATATGTGATCATTCTATATAAGTATTTACAAAAATGGTTGGAAATCCATGAAGACATACCAAAGAATTGGACTGAAAAAGATGAATTTAGAAACATGATAAGAAATGGTATCAGAAAGGGAGAAAATGATGTTCCTGTAGATGAAGAAAATTTTGATGAAGCCATCAAAGCAGTTAATACTTGTATCTACAAAACAACTGTACCAAGTTCCATAAAAAAAATTCTCAACGACAATAGTTGTATTAATTTGAATGCAAAAGTAATTATTTATTTCTATTGCATAATAAAATATTTTTATAGATTCTGAGAACAATAATATGTGGAAGAAATCAACTTTAATATTCAATTAGAACTTTCAAATGCAATATTTTTAATGTTCGGTCCCGGTATGTCATTATTAGCCATACAGCAGAGTCATTCGAAATAAATCAAGATTAGTATTATTCCTTTGGGATAAGATATAGGTATTGATGCTAAGACTGCAATTCAATTTGGAAAAAAGGTAGCCCCAATATATAATTACGAAAAAGAGTTAAAAAATAACGTTTTTTACAGTTTAATAATGTTTTTATGCTAGGCTATGCAATTTTCATTATTTTTCGTCGCTAAGTATACTTGAAAATTAAATAAATAATTTCAAAGTTATTGCAAAAAATCATAAAAATGAACATTTATTAATTACTTAACAGGTTTTGTAATGTGAAAATATTGATTCCCTATACTATGTAAACTATGGATTATATGTAGAATTTAAAAATTTTTTTTAGGTCATTTATAATTTTTCATTTAGGGCTATTTTAAACAATTTAAATTTGAATAATAATCAGGAAAATAAATTTACATTAAACCACAAATCTCAATGAAAACAATAAGCATTTGCTAACAACGTACACAAGGGTAAGAAATTAATTTTCAACAGTGTTGCTTGTTGAACAACAATAGTTTTACAGGAAGTGTTCAAAATATTTTTTAATATTCAACCGTAATCTTATCTCCAAATGTGCAATTTTCAATTATTACACTATATTAGGAATGTATATTTTGTAAATCGCAGAAACTTTTAGTTAATTAAGAAACAGTTCTTTATTTAAGGTTTTTTTGCAATCACTTTTAAATTATTTATTTGTTATTTACATTAGCCTATTTAATTTATAAGGTATTTTTCACAATTACATATTGATAATACCTTTTTCCATACTCTGAGCGCAAAGTGTATCTTTCCTGCACACTCGGCAGAAAACATGCGTTGAAAATCGCACTTTCCACATGTCGTATAAAAAAATACGGTACGGCACATGTTCCAGAAAGAGTTTCTCGTCTCGTGTACCTTTCCACCCTCGCTTCGCTCGGGCGTAAACGCCAAACGAGACTAGAATCTACTTTCCCGCACTTGTATCGTAATGTACTATTTATCCTGGATGAACTATAATCTTGTTCATCATCAATACCTACATCTTTCCGTAAAGAAATAATATTAGTCTCAGTTTGTGATGACTGGACTTTTTTTTAGCCAGAATGTTTGGACTATCTTATGAAAGTGTAATTGAAAATTATGTATTTTTATTTGTCACATTAGAGTTGTTTAATGATAAATAACTTTTCTCTTTCAGAGCAGTTCATTTTGGATTATTGCAAAAGCTATTAGAGACTTCATGGAAAATGAAGGAGATGGTTTATTGCCTTTGAAAGGGGCGTTACCAGATATGATAGCCGATACAGAAAAATTTGTTTCACTCCTGCAAGTGTATGTATCAATTTAGATATTTTTACTGTATATCATTCATTTTTACTATATAAATTTTTATCAATTGTAATCAATTCAGGTACCGTAAACAAGCAATAGCTGATGTTGAAGCAGTATGGCGAAGAACACTTCAATTATTGAGGCAACTTGGAAAGCCATCAGAAGCTATACCTGAGCATGATGTTAAGCTTTATTGTAGACATGCATCTGAATTAACTGTACAGCGAGGAACATCAATTGCAGATGAATATGATCCCAAAATGATTAATGCTAATGAAATAGGTAAGCATTAAAAAAAGTTTTCGATACTCCGTGCGCAAAGTGCGTCTTTTCCGTACGCTCGACAGAAAACGTGCGTTGAAAATCGCACTTTCCACACGTCGTATCAAAAAATACGGTACGGTTTTGAATATTTTGGTTACAAATTTTTTGGAGCACCTGTAGCCATGCAATTCTTGGATAAAGCACCAAAAAAAAATGTTCCAAAATTTTTACCTTATTTTACTCTACGGGCATGAAACAATTTTTTCGAGCTAGACCAATGCAAAGGTCGCATAGCCTGTTCATTCAGCTTCAATTTGCAATATTGGGGCACAAACTTAGGTTAGAAAAAAATTTTAGTCTAACGTACCCCAAAGACTCCCCTAAATTTTTAGATCGATCGGTTCAGCGGTTTTCTTGGACCGATTGATTGAAATTTTGAAAAAATTAAGGGAACAAGATTTTTGTTCTTTAAACTTGACTTAATCTTTTTAAAAATCAATAATTTCATTTTTTTTCGACTTTTTACTCAATTTTGAATTTCCTGAAGATTGATTAACGAAAAAAAATTTTTTTTCCAATTAACCATGACAGATTTTTGTAGGAAATCTGCAGAAAACGAAACCCCCTATCCGTTTGCTGGGCGACCAGTAGTTTCAGAGATATCGGCAGTTGAGTAAAAAAGAATCCTTTTGCATTCAAAATTCGATATCTCAAAGACAAATGGTCGTATCTGACTACCGCAAAAAGCAAATTGAAGCTGAATGAACAGGCTATGCGACCTATGCATTGATCTAGCTCGAAAAAATTTTTTCATGCCCGTAGAGTAAAATAAGGTAAAAATTTTGGAACATTTTTTTTTGGTGCTTTATCCAAGAATTGCATGGCTACAGGTGCTCCGAAAAATTTGTAACCAAAATATTCAAAATCTAGAGTCTTCAAGCTTCAAAAGCTATATTTTTTTTATTTCCTGTACGACAACTTATCACTGAAATACAGTCTGTTGAAAATTGCCAAAAAAATTAGAAATTTTCTTTGTTCTTTTAATTTATGCGCGAAGTGTATAAAAAAATACTCGCTTCGCTCGAGCATAAACGCTACACGAAACAAGAATCTACTTTCCCGCATTTATATCGTAATGTATTATTTCATAATTAAGAAAATTGCTGTTAGAATAATTATTTGTTATTTTAGCTCAAAGTTTAGAAAACCCTGAAAGTTTGATGGTCCACTACGTAGTACTAAGGGGAATAGAAAAGTTCCAAGGTGAATATAATGCCTATCCTGGAGAGTTCGATGATCATGTAGAACCTGATATTGTAAAACTAAAAGTAATGAATTTTTTGCATTCTTTTTTATAGATTTGGTGGAAAAAATTGTGTCAATATTTGTTAATATGTTGTAGGCATGTATATCAAAATTACTCGGTGAATGGGGATGTGGACCACTATCAAAAGATGATTATGTTCATGAGTACTGTAGATATGGTGGAGCCGAATTACATTCTGTTTCTGCCACAATTGGAGGCCTTGTTGCTCAAGAAGCAGTCAAATTTATTACCCATCAATACATACCAATTAATAATACTTTCATCTACGATGCCATGTCGTGCAATGGATCTACTTTTACTTTCTAAAATGGAATTAAAGATGTTACTATTTTATTATAGTATTTAATAAAAAATACATTAATATTTGTATATTATTGTTGTAGATTAATACATTCCTGATTAGAACTTTCATTTAAAATTAATAGATGATTACAAATCATTACAATTAATTGGAATCTGATTCTCATAAATATCTTAATCGATATATTTAGTTCTAAATAGTTCATAAATGATTATTAATTGAAAGAAAAAAGAAAAAGTTTTTAGTACATGAAAAATGCCACTGACAAATGAATTTAACCAAATATTCTTGTTTTTTGGAATGAAAAGTTAACATTATTATCGTCTTCCTCGTCCTCTTCCTCTACCACGACCACCCCTAGCTCCTCTTCCTCCACGTCCTCTACCTCTTGCAGCTCCTAAAAATAAATTTACAAGATGAAAGTTCATTAATAAAAAACTCTTTGCAATAGATTGAAAGTACAACACTGTTAAAATAAAATTTATAACAAAAAACAAACCTCGAGCTGCTTCTTTCTTTTTGGCTTTAGCTTTTGGTGTATCATCAATTAATAATGTTTCTAAAGGCAATGAGTCTGGTAGTATGTAGTACCTTATATTGTTTCCTCTTAAACTAAGGGTATCCAATTGGACTGGATCTCTATTTTTTATTGTCATTTTAACTGATTTCAAATGTGTATTCATCGCTACATCAACGCCTAGAAGATAAAAGAATTAGTTCTGAACATATAATTATTTTAGGTAATTAAATTTGCAAATAAGTGATAATCAATACACTGAACAACTATTAATAGTTTTGTGTCAACTATGAAACACATTTAAAAATTCCAATGTTTATTACATTACACAACTAAAAAATTATTACAAGTAGAATTATCTTACCAGTAATGGTTCCATGAACTTGAGTACCATTTTTCAATTCTATTGTAACTGTTTCATGGCTCAACTTCATCAAAAACCTAAAATGTAAAATAGTTGTTAGAATAATAATGCATCATTGTTAGGTTAGAAATAACGCATGGATATTTGTGTTAAATACGGGTGTAAATAATTAATAAATTTTTGCGTTTTCTCAAATTTAGAAGTGAAACAGAATATTGTGATATGTTTACCTAACAAGTTTCATGATGCCTACGTATTAATGTTAATATCAACGATAGTACAAGTTAACAATACCGGTACATAGGTATATCGTTTTGGAATTGAATTGGAAAGTGTACGCAACACATAACCAATCTTTTAGAAAGCGTCATGTGCACAAATTTTGTAGTATAATGTTGGTATTGACATTTATGCTATCTACACTGCCTAACCTGTGCCGCTTGCTCAACCAGGGAAATTGAACTTTGTCAACCTAGATTTCTATTTTTCATTTAATTTCAAACACTACTGAGTAAACAATTAGTCATTTATAATAAATTAATTTATGTAAACTGAAACGATCGTTTTTTTTTTCTTGACATTGGGAGACGTATAACATTAGATACTAAAAATAATTATTTTTCTTTCGCGAAATCCAGTAAGTTTTAATAAAAATGCCATTATTCCAGAAATCAATAAATGATATTGATTTACAAAACGCTTGAAAATCGACTTACTATTGCAAAGCAAAATAGTTTTGTTTATTTGTATGGTAAAGAGAACCGACAATCATTCGTTGAGAGTTCATTAATCGGTGTGACGAGATTGGCATTCGCGCTTAAATTAATAAAAAGTGAAAGAAATCAATCTAATCAGACCCACTAGGAAAGATTTAAATCGAGAATTCGTAATGTATTGTCGATTTTACTTTTTTTCAAAACAATTGTCGGCTTTTTGGCGATAGATCAGTTAAATTAACGTTAAAGTACAAAACAATGTGAAAACGGATGAATTGTAAGAAAGAAGATTGATGATGAAGTAATAAAAATCGAGATATTGTCAGGGAGTAAGGACTACACTGTACGTGTCTGTGCGTAACGACGGTTGCGCGAGTGCGAGAATCGAGCTGCGCGTGTACATTTACGTATACATAGTTGTATGCATGTGTGTGAGCTCGTTGGTACTTTCATAGGAGGTGCGCGCGAAAAAGCCGCTGAGCAGTTGAGCATCGCAGTGAGAGTGTGTGTGTGTGTGTGTGTTAACCAACAGCAACCGAGCGACCCAACCTTGCCTCTATCTAACACCACAGCGGGCACAGACTGAGTGCGCGTATCCGCGATCATTGGCGCTCGGTCGCGCTAGCGCACGTACGTATAGCACAGCGAGTAGCTCCGAATGAGTGAAGGAGATAGAAAGAGCAGTAGTGACCACGGTCCGAGCTCGAGAGCATGCTGAAGGACCATACGCTGAGTAAACCACTTTTTGTGCGGAAGGGCAAGTTGCGTGCTGCTTCCAACTCGGACTTTTCGTATAAAATAACACGACAACGAGAGCAAGCTAGCGAGTGAATAAGAGAGAGCGAGATATATACGCGCCAGTGCCGCCTCGCAGCGGGCCGGACAGCAAAGGGGAACACGACGTGCTCTCTCGCTAGTTCTCTAAACGAAGAGAGGTTATAGTTTTTATCGTGATACATAAAAGTGTGTGTTTATTTCGCTATAAGTCTTGCAAGCGCGCTCCTTCGTCATGCTCGTCCTTTAAACAAACAGTGCTTTCGTGCTAAATAGCAGTGCTTGCAGCAGTGGCAGCGGCATCAGTAACACCAGATACAAGTTGTCCTGCCTCCAGATAGCAGCGCACGCGTGAGCATTTCAAGGTTTGTTTTCCTCCTACGCATCCGCGCGTTTTCTCTTTCTCTCTCTCTCGCTCTCCCGCGATGTTTTCCTTGACCCAGTCAACTCTCTCCGTGTCCTGCTGCACGCGGCCGTATGTTTTTTCTCGTCAGAGCCGCGAGAGCCTTTGCAGTCTGTTGTTTTTCACGAGCCTTCTAATACCCGGTCAGTCAGCTGTTTTCCCAACAAACACGGCCGCTCGCTAAAAAAACTCGCATTTACCCCGGTCTTTCCTTTCCTACATGCTCATTGACAACTTACGTGGGAGCCGCGTTTTTGTTGCCGTTTCTTTCGTCATTTTTACCATGGATCAAGACTTCAAGAAGCACAAAGAAAACGATTTTTATATGTACTCCGTTTGACGTCGGTATCGCTTGTTTTTCTTGTTTCTTGCCGTTTACCATGTGATTTAAGCAAACGCCTATTGCAGTTTCACCCAATCTCAAAGTAAATGACTAGTATTCCGTCGATATTATTGGCACTCTGCTATGGAAACAAGGTGTTTGAAGAACGAGCAGCAAAGTTTCGACATTACTCAAATTGACATGTGTACGATGAGTGAAATTGATCGGGTAAAATGTTTGTCATCAATTAAAAGTTGCGCGTGCTTTAGTTTGGAAAAATCTTTTCGGAGCTCTAAGCACGTATTGCCGGTATGATCATGCAGCGCGAATAAGCTGTTCGCGGCACAGAGTGTTAAATGTAGGCAAATCCTAGGGGCGCGCGCGAATTAGAAAGAAAGAGAAAAATAGAGCGTAAAATTTGCCGGAAAATTCATTGGGGAGTGTCTGCGAGAAAAACGGAAGAGATATTCATCGACAACGGTTTAACAAGAACGGTTAAACTAATCGATCGGTGAGATACGGAAAAAAGGAAATAAGTAAATACAAGGGAGGCCAGTAGTGACCTGCGAACCGATATTCTCGCGTCTTGAGAGCAAAAGAGAGCGAGGAAAGAAACAGCGCGTGTCCTAGCCACCCTCCTGTTTCACCTCCTTCTCCCAAGCGTGCCTGTCGGCTGTGATGAAAATACAAAGAAATACAATGCATGCGTGAACGTATCTTGATACGCCTGTGTGTATAAGTCTTTGGGAGAGAGATTGATTAAAGTTTATTATTGCCCCGGCGCTGCCATGTGCGCGCTTTGTTCAGGCTTCGCAAGCGCCTTGCACACATCCGTTCTGCTGAACACGGCATATTCCCGCAAGCAGCTGGAATTTCGTGGTCACGTCAATTTTTCAACGTGCAAGTCCGAGCACTCGGTCTGATGAACGCCGACTGATGAAGTGACAATTTTATTTGACCCATCAGTCGCGCTATTGTCGCGGCATTCTCATGTGCGAGCAATTCCGCCAAAAAGCTGCATTAATTCGCCATCGCTTTTTCAAATCTTCAAACTGCCAGCACGCTTTCAATTTTGCACGGCTTTCGCATTGTGCTACAAGCTTCCACATTCTTGGACTCACGAACCACTCTTCTGATACTTCCTTTTATATCTGTACAGACGTTACACGAAAGCTCAATAAAAACATAAATGTAAGTTTTTGTAGTTGATCGGAATTAAAAAAAAACCAAAAAGTAAGAGCGTTAATCTGACTTAAAATTCCCATTTCATGGGTTAAAATATGTTAGAAAGCATATTATGGTTCCCTTTTATTTCAAATTTGTATCCTTGCAGAGCTTTCAAAATATAACTTTCATTTAAACGTGTTCAATTTGTAATTTCATTGGCAATGTGTTTTTATACAGCGTTATAGTTTTTAAAGCTCTGCAAGGCTCGACAATTTCAGCAAAACATACACCAAACTGAGTTTCGACGTATTTTGACCATTCGGATTTCAATTAAAAATCAGATTAACGCTATCGTTTTTTGTTTTTTATTAAATCCCAAAAAGGAAAAATAAACTAAAAAGCTAGATTTCTTTTTTGATGGATTTGAGCTCTTTTATGGGCAAAAAAGTTTTTCACGAGCATGCTGCATGGTGAGCTTACACTTTTTAGGTATCCTAGTGTTCTTTAGATTGATAAAATCGTACGAGCAAGGGCGTGCGCACAATTTGAAAATTCGCTAAAACTTTCTCGAATTAAGGAATTTTTGGCGGAATCGCTTCTATACGTGTACAAAGATTAAGAATATATTTGAATCTTCTTTTACTTGATATTGGGCCAGATCATTTTTTTATAACACTCGTAGGTTCAAGCCCTTCAATTAATCCGTAATATAAACGAGTTCTCCTCGCGAAACAAAACTCATCGAAAGAGTGTCAAGTGGCGCTTAATGGATTGAAAGCGAATGGCTATGCATAGCCCTTTTGTTCGCTCTCTCGTGATAAAACTTTAACGACGCCCCCAGCCCTTCTCTCTCCCAAATGTGTGCTCGAATGGAGGTACGTGTGCATGCGAAAGTATGAATGGGCGGAGGAGCCGAAGAGGATAGATAACAGCGAAGGTATCAATCAGCGATGGTTGCGGGTCTCCCATCGATGGATCAAGGAGGCAACTCAAGGAAACATCAAAGCTCCGACAGTCGGTGAGTTATTATTTATTTCTTGAATTTCATTTGAATTTCATCTCCTTCTGGCAGTCCATTGATGTATTCTATGGAATCGCGCGCGCGCGTGTTGTTTTTGCTGCTGACACGCCCAACAATTAGCGGCTGATCTAGGGGATCCCTGGTGTTTAATTATTTGGATGTATTACGTACGCAACGCGGCCGTAACCATTGTCGTGTCTCTAATATCTTTTTCTTTCTTTTGCCAAGGGGAAATGAGAAAAATTTCGACGCCCAAAGAGGATTATCTAGTTCTCGACATTTCGACGGTTCTCTATATACGTTGCTGCGGATCGCCCGACGCCTACGTGTTTCAGTAACTGATCCGCAAAAGTTCTTTTCTTACCTTACCTAGGTATACATACGTCAATAAAAACTGAATAAAACTTTCTACCGAAACTTTTCATATATACTTATGAATGTATATATACACGCACGCTTTGCTTTCTTTGGTGTTGACGTAAACAACTTACCAGACTTACTACATTAATATTTCACCGGCTCCAAGTGCCTTTGACTAATAAATACGCGATTATTACTTTAAATATTGTCACATTAAGAATATTATTTGTAAACTCCTGTAAACATTTCTAGGAAACGAAGGATTTAACTACGTAAACTATAATCAGAGGGTAATTTGTGAAACGCTAATTGAAAAAGTAATCAATAAAAATCTCTCTCTCTCTGTTATTCACAACTGCATATTGTTTCAATTCTCGTTAAATTTAATTGAGGCCACACAAGTTGTATCAAGTGAAATTAAACGCAATTTGAAGCGTTGAATTTCGATACGTTATAATCGACAGATTAATAGACATTGTATTCCAACAATCCGACAATATTTGACGTACACTCGCATGATTTTGTTATCAGAATATTGACATGGTAATTATTCACAGCCTTTAATGGCGATCATTTTTAATATAAAATACGTATTAATAAATATTACGCTTACTCACTGAATTGGACCATAATGTTATACTTATTTTTCATGAAATGGTAATATCAAGTTAGCAATAATTTGTTCCTTACGTTTTATTTTAAATATGATCGATGTTAGTTTGATATTGTTAGATATTATGCAAAAGTTATTATTTGCCTATATTTACATATTTATAGAAAGTCTGTTACTAAAAGAGTTGACAATCGTACCCAACAAAACCTTGGAAAATCAGATTTAAATTTACGTAATTGAGGTCACTGTTTTATATGATTTCTCAAATGACGTCACTTATGCAAATCTATTTATCGTTTTCTATTCGATTGAATTAATTTTGGTAGTTGGTAATTGTATTATGTAGCCAAGTCCGATGAGGTTGGAATACCAGATAAACTGATGCGAGGATCGCATCGAAACCAGTTTATTGACTTGACTACCTAATTTGTTAGAATCTGATTAGTTTAACAAAGTTCAAAGGAATAATTGCGTAATGTATAAGCACTGCTGTGTACAGGTCAGAAATCAGCATCTAAATATTTTACTAATTAGTAGATTTCTTCCTGCCAAGAATTTACTATAGGACTCTATAGGACAGCAAATTTTAGAATACTCTTTAGAATATAGACACTGTTAATGCAACTTTTTTTAAAGAAGAATATAATTTTTCTCCAAAAGTTGCTCATCAAACCAAACCACACTAAGATTCCTAATGAAACAATAAAATTTGTACACACCTCTAAAAATTAACAACATACAAAATATTTACATACACTGAGCAAGTTAGAATGTTCAGATTAATCAGTTCTTTTAGCAGTATTAAATATAGTTTATTCAAAGCTGTTCAGTGCCATGAAACATTTATCCAAATTTGCGAAAGCTGTGCTTAGAAAAAAGGAAAAAAGGTTGAGCGATCGACAGCCTAGATAGGAAAAGCTCGGTGTAGAAACGAGAGCGTTATCTGAAATTGCAGCGAGTAAAAAACAAGGAGCGGTCGAAAGCAAGGAGATGAACTGTGTAGAGATGGAGAGTTGGAAAGAAAACACACTCGGGCAACATCTCAGGAAGATAAAGAGAGTACAGAGGATCGAAGAGGAGGAGAAGGGCGATATTCTCTTTCGCAGTTGGTGGTTCATTGTTATTCCGGGAAGCACATGGCGATTGTCTTAGGCTACGAGCTTCCGGAGTGCGAGGGCGTCCGATCAAACGACCACATAGCCATTTCAGCCCCCCCCCCCTCTCTCACTTTTTGTTTTGCATTAAGCTTCAACACATTTCACGTAAGTAATATTAAGTTCAAATATTTCAGTAATATTAAAGAGTATAACGTTTTCGCGATTGACCGTAGTTGTAGGTATATCTAACACGCGAGTAGACATCTATACAGCGCAAGGCGTGGTCTCTTTTGACGCACTGTTAAACAGCCGGCAGCTAGATATACTTATTCCCGTGCGTGTACTCGTCATTCTTTCCTTCTTCTGTTTTTGCTCCTCGTGGTCCGGCAACGACCATTACTCGCAGTAGGCAGAGCTGTTGCCGCCCTTTTCCTATATTTTTTTCTTCTCGCTTTTGTGTTCTCTACGAATTATGGGGGGATGAGTCGAGACGCTTTTTCACTGGCATCCATTTAATGCTGCGCACTGCTGCTTGCTAGTAACCATTTTCCTCAAGCTCGCCCCCTCAAAAGCCTTGTGTTGCATCGTGCCTTTTTTTTTTATTTTTCTTCGTCCTATCCGTCGTAATTTTTTTTCCAAACACCGAGCTTGTGGATCGAACGTACCCGTTCAAACCGTACACAGCGAGTGCAACGTTATTCCTATCATACGATGTGTTCTTCTATTTTCCGCTACTATTTATTTTTCCGATAAAGCTCGCTTGTTCGAAGCATATGCGTATATTGAAAATCACAATCCCAACGACGTTGATCTTTTATCAAAATCCACTTTTTATTTCTATTGGCGATTAGAATCATCCACGCTTCATTTGCCCAGCTATTGATTATTGCCAGGCGACAGTTTTTCATGGATATTCATCTCACGTTCACAAATCATTAAACAGATAAACAGAAAAAAAATACGCGTAAAGATGAATGATATAGTTTATTCAAGCGATTGGTTAAAAACTCATCATCTCTCGATGATAGAACATTTCTATAAATGTTTGCCAGTATATTCATGATGTAGCGATACATGAATTACTCGACAGACTTGATTGCCAACGACCAAAAGGCATATGATCGAATTTTTATTCATCAATAAGGTAGTAACTTATTGGAAATTAAATACTAACTTATTCGAGCAAAACTTTAAATTTTTAAAAATAATGTCAGACAATATTTCTTACTAAATTTTGGTATCTACGTGTAAAGAATAACAGCAAATTCTTTGCTAGAATTATTACGATAAAACTGCAAGATGTAGAGCAGTAAGAAAAAGTTCTGGAGAAGTGATGACGTGGCGTTGTCAGCGCTTTTCTTCCTTCGGAAGCTGCAACAATTCGATCTCGAAACCAATTCATTTAACTTAATAGCTTTGCCTAGCACTCGGAGCTCGTATTTTTACAATGTATCGTGAGAGTGAAAATGACTTTGCAGATACACCGAAACAATGCCAAGCTTACGTAACGTAACTGTGGATTTTTGGTCGATAAAACCAAACGATTAAGGTTGAATTGATGCTTACTAGACGAGCAAATAAATACAGGGACATAATTAAGAGAAGTATAGCTGGAAATGCTCAGCGGTGTAGGCTAGTTTACTCTGTCAGAGTCATACGTTATTATGCTCCGTCTTTTTGACTCCTTAATTGCTTTGCATTACAATATGATTTCGGCACCGTCGATTCAATCAATGAATTCCATTCTACATTACCATGGGCTTGATTCGGTCAATACTGCGATGATGCTTTAATGGGTTCTTAAGGATAAAGTTAATTATTCCTTACGGCTTCAGTCTCTTTGTTTCGTTAGCTTTTGAACAGTACATTAGTTCCGGGGGAAAGCCATACTACTATACGCAGAATAATCCGCGCAAAACAGGCATCAATGAATTGATGCACGAGCGGTAATGGATTTTGCGGTAATGGATCTGTCAGAAAATCGCAGCTAGCAGCGTATTCCGGATGACCCTTTTCCTCTGTGGAAAATAAAAGTCAAGAGCAGGGAACTGTCGCAAAAAACGGAGTGTTAAAAACTCGATTGAGGCATTTCCTGTCGGTTGGGAGAGTGTAACAGTGTGGCGCCCGCGGGCGAAGCTATTAAAATGACTTATAAAAAACTCTTTCCGAACGAGTAAGCAGTTAAAACGTTCTGTGGGACTGGCGAAAAGTCAGTTGATTAGTCGCTGAATAGATTGGCGTTCATTTGCAAACCATATCTGCAACATGTTTCTAGTAGTACGCCTAAGAATTGTATCGGATTCTGATAATATTGACTAGCACATAAATTTGCGAGTGCAGCCCAGGCTGCGCATGCACTATTGGAAATTGAAAATCGAAAGGGCGACGCAGCAGGCTTAATTAGAGACGCGGCCCAAAGTAATACAACACGCGAGTGGTCAAGGCGCACTGGCGAGTCGAGTTGCATATTTGGTCGCCGCCTGAAAATAAGGCGACATGCGATTACGCGCCTTTTGCAAAGTCCGCGATGCAATTATGAGAAGAGAGAAAAAGCAGATCGAAGCAGTAAGTAGAGCAGTGTGAACATTCGCTGCTAGTAACGCGGCAAAAGCGCGCGCGATCTAGTCGGCAGGGAGATGCTGCGAAATCCAATATCGTAAGTCCGCGTGGCGTTACGTGAATCGAACATCTAGCAAGCTCCGAAAAACAATGCGCGACGCGATTTTACTTCTGCGTCTACGAAAACGCCGAGCACCGTCGTAGCGCGAATGACTCGCAAGGCCAGCGCGCGGCGAGGGAGCAACAAGTTATCCGTCTGCCGCGCTAAATTTTTAATACGTTGCCGGCGGCACTCAAGACGCGCTTCTGCTCGAAATTCGTGAGCGTGAGGCGGGCATGTAGGCCAAGTGTGCGCGCGCGCGCGACAA